AGGTTTTGTCATCATGTGATGATGACAAAACCTTGTCGAAACGTTGTACATTTGCTGTCATGTTAAACTTATATTAAAGTTTTTCTTCATTACCCATTTAAGCCGTCTCCAGCCATTATTAGTCTCAAAGTGGGTTCCTCGTCATCGAATTTGAAAACATATAAAAAGTTCAGAAAAACATAACTGTTTAAAAAAATTGTTAAAATTGGATTTAATGTCTGTATTAATTATAAGTATTTTTAAAAACATCTAAGAAATATATTTAAGTTAAACTATGTATAAGAAATATATTATTTAATTTCTCAACAAATTTACACAAATTATACCTCTAAGGAAAGCTCAAGACACCAAAAGTGCAAAGCTTTGTTATTCAATAATAGATTAGTCCAGCAATTCTCAAACTGGGGTCTTCAGACCCCTGGGAGTTCACTAGTCATGTCTGAAATTTCATTAAAATATTTACAAAATATAATTTATAAAATAAAAATATTTTTCATAAAGTTAAATTAAAATAAATTAAAACATTTAATTTTGGAATACAGCTTTTTATATACATGGAATCTTTTTTTTTTCAAAACAAAAAACACTGATAGGGGTCTGCAAAAATTTTTTTAAGAGGGGTCCTCAGGTTACTAAGATTTTAGAACTGCTGGATTAGTCTAAAATGATTTACAAATATTTGAATGTTTTACAGTTATTTGATTTTTATATTGTCAGATTCTTCCAAAATATTTCCAACAAACTTAATCAGGTCCTGTGAAAGTATGCCCTTACACTTTTTTTACGTAAAAAAAATACTTGTACTAAAAGTATCTTTTCTAATGATCCAAAGAGACAAAAAAGTATTTATACTTACTGGCATCATGGTTTTTTTGCAGCTTAGCTGTGACATGAATTCGAGCATCAGCAGTCCCAAAGAATATTCCAAGCCTTAATAAAGAGTCATTTTGTTCGACCAATTTTGATATTTCCATTTCAATCTTAGTGCCAAGAACCTGTGTGCTCTAAAAAAAGAATACAACTTGAAAAAAGGATTAAAAATTTGAAATAATCTTTAAGTTTTAATAACAGTTATGGTTAGCTATTCAACCCTATGCCAACAGGTCAGACATTTTGATTAACCTCCTAAGTACCAGTTAATCACGAAACTATACACATTAAAACTCTGAATATACAAAGTGTATTTTCACAAACTTTAGCAAGCTTTTATTTTTAATCTGATTTTTTAAATAAAGTATTTCTACTAAAAATTTATCTGTGAATTTATGAAGCCTTTACTGAGTCAATAGAGTGAAATTACATAAGAATAAAAATACTTTTTTCACCTTATAAACTTTTCATACTTCATTTGTATAAGCTCTAGAACCTCCTAAATGAATATCAGAAGGTTTTTTTTAGTAAAACTGTACTTTATCTCATATTTTTTCTATTCTAACACTAACTGTAGTGAAATCATCAACGTACAGTAAAATGAAAAGTCGAAAAATATGAAATACTTTTTTTTTTCTACTAGATTGACTGCTTGTTCTAATAGAAAATTACAATTATTTATTCTAACAGATTCAGGCATCTTACCTTTTTACAACTGCTTTCAATTAGTTTTACCATTTCATTTTTCTTTGAACCATGTTTAACTAGCGTAACAAAGCTTAGGATAAACAAACTATCATTTTACATCATTTGACAGCATCCTGCATGTTTTCCTTGAATACAGATCACAATTTTTTTATGCATTTATTTTTTCATTTAGAGTTTCTTATATAATCTGATATGTTTCAAATATTTAGATTTTAGTTGTTTCCATTAAACATTTAATAATAAATAAAAACATACACAAAAAGCATGAAATTTAACCTTACTTTAGCTTTGAGGCCTTTTGTACTTAGGTGTGTGATTCAGTAGGTCTATTTCTTTCACTATGTTGGTTTAAAAAATATTTTGTGGCTTTCAAATATGCATTTTAGAACACAAAAAAATATATCAGGTGCTCAACTAAAATGCCCCAAAACTATACAATTTATTTGACTAATTAACCTATAAATAGGTTAAAAATTCCATTACTGCTTGGAGCAACATCTTTAGTGTAACACATCAGACTTTCCTCATGAACTATCAGCTCTGACTACTAAAACAAAACAATCATCTCTTTCTATTGGTTATAAGCATGTCCAATAGCAATATAAGAGAATATTATTGACATCTTGTAGAATACAAAGGGAAGGGCATATCATGTTGGTTGAACAAGTAATGATATGTCAGTAAAGCAAGAAGAGGTTGAATTTCTATATTCTGGCTCATCAATATCTATATAATATGTTTCTAATTGATTGAACAATCCAAAGACCCTTTATAATGGAAGAGAAAAAATCTGAGAAGTCAGCATCACCATGTCATGAGACTCAGAAAGGTGAAGATCGAGAATTTAAATATTTGTCGTGGAAATTAATAAATTAAAACTATTCATGCCAAGTTCTTTAACATACATTGATAATAAATGGTTTATTTAAATTTATAATATAACTTTCTAAAAAAAGGTTGTGACATTGACTCTCCCATGTGCAGAGGGTTAAAGCTAGTAACTTCAACATTTTAAATAGCTTTCTTTTTATTCAAATAGTTTCACATAAATGGGGTTGGCTTAACTTTACTCATTGATTGAAGTTGTTACTTAAAGCTTTAAACCTAATATGTTTTGTATGTAAAGAAAACTATGCATAAAAATCAATAAAAATTAAAACAAAGAATAATTTAGTTGAAATTCAATTTATGATCCTAGTTAAGTACAAACTGTAGTATTTCTGAATTTATGTTAGAACTATTTTATGTTTACTCTTATTACATAAAAAAAAGGATATTTAAAAAAAATCTTACTTTGATACTTTTTTTTCCAACACTATGAATAACTAAACTAAAACATAGTACTACAATCAAATTTTGAGAAACATTCTAAACTTAGCTGAGCATTGGGTTTGAAGAATGATTTAATTCCATGTGAAAATTTCCACATTTACAAAAATATACGTAATTTTTCTAACTTCTGAAATCATCAAAGCTAGTATAAAAGCTTCTAACAGTGTCTAAAAAACTCAAAACATTTTCAATGTTTAATGAAATGAAGAATAGCTGTAATATTATTAAAGCAAGAGCTGTACCAATCAACAAAACTTATTAAAAACCAAATATTTAATATACATTTTAATTACAAATTTGCAAGTTTCAAATAAGGCTTACAGAGGGTCAATCTTCATTCACTGTAACAGTAAGCCAGAACTAAACTAACGAGACTAAAAAATAACCTAAAAGTAATTCTTTAAATACAATGTCTTTGTGTGCAGATAAAACAAATTGTACAGTTTACTTTTCAAAAGTAATTATACAAATAAACAGCTTATCCTTTAATAAGGGATTTAAAATAATAATGTTTACAATATTCATGTTAAATATATTCTTATTTTTGTAGCCTAACTATATCTCTTGTAGGTTGTGAAGGAAAGGATGATCCCTTAAACATTTAATCATATAAACAAAACCAAATATCCTTAAAAGTATGTATGAATGAATAAATAAATGCAAGAAGTAGTAGTAAAACTATGAACCCACTACTAAAAACAGATATCCACATAGATTAAAACATATATATACACTAATTAAGTTTTCTCTGAACAGTGTTTTGGTACTAATTTTAACATGAAGAAAAATATTTATATTTACATTAACAATTTAATTATGTCATATCACCACACAGGTATGATTTTAAAATCATGATAGATTGTTTAGGCAGAGTATTTATAATGAATCTAAGTTTCAAATGGACAGCAACTGCCTGTTGTAGAAACCTACTATTTCCTTGTCATTAAAAATTAGATATTCTTAACACTACGACTAGTTATCTATATGTACCTGATTGGCGGTTCTCAGCTCCAGAATGCTTTGAGTGGGTAAGAGAGCCTTGACTAGATCACAAATTGTTCGTGGTGTCAGATAGTTGGACTCAACATTGAGAGATTTCAAGGTCTTGTTCTCTTCAAGGGCTTGAATTAGAATCTGTAGTAATTGAAAAAAAAAAGGGTATTCTCTAGTAATCCATTTTTTACGATTGAAATATGACATCTTCCAAAGGTAAAGTATTTTTTTGCTTTTTAGTACTAAGTGTAAATAACTACAAACTAAACATAACATTCATATATGGCTTAAACTCTTTCCAATGATACTAAAACACTGAACTAATAAATTTTATCTTATAAGTTCAGGTGATCCAAACCATTAAAAAAACAAGTAATTTATGAAAGGCATTCAGAGAATAGCAAATTTCTTTTCAAAACACTGATTAAGAAGGCTCTTTATCAACAACTAAATATTAAACAAACAAATAGATAAAGAAGGCTCTTTATCAACATATAAATATTAAACAAACAAATAAATAAAGAAGGCTATTTATCAACATATAAATATTAGACAAACAAATAGATAAAGAAAGCTCTTTACCAACATATAAATATTAAACAAACAAATAGATAGATAAAAAAGGCTCTTTACCAACATATAAATATTAAACAAACAAATAGATAGATAAAGAAGGCTCTTTACCAACATATAAATATCAAACAAACAGATAGATAAAGAAGGCTCTTTATCAACATATAAATATTAAATAAACAGATAGATTACAGAATACAAGCATCCACACAATTAGATTAGATTGAAAAATGAAAGAGAGATAGAAATAAGCTTCTAGTTATAATTTGTCATTTAATGTGAGCATTATCTTTCAAGAAAGTATTAAAGCAAGGTCCTTACTGTAACTACTCCAATTAGTTACGACTTAAAAACTGAGATGAAATTAAAGGTTACAATGAAGTTGGTCAGGAATGAAAATAAAAAGCAGACTGATAAAGATGATGAATGGAGAAAAATATAACATTTATTCCACATAAGCATTGTAAAAACAAGAAATCTGAAGAATACAAAGCAGAAAGTTTAGATTCTTGCCTGTTTTCGATTTTTTTAAATTAGGAAATAAATATATAAAATATTTTGTACAGAAGATAAACAAAGACAAACTGGACAAGTCATTTTGTAAAACAAACCTCTGTCTTCTACTCTGGAGTATTCTTATAGTAAAAACAACTGTTACAAATATTTAAGACCCACAGCCACAAAAAAAGTAGGATCTTTTACTAAAACTTTGGCTGAAACAAAATTATGAAAAATATAATCTAAAAAGTGCATAAAGTGCAATAGTAATTATTAGTAAACAGTTTAGCTACATTAGTTGAACTGATTTCAACACAACTTTCAGATTTTCAATTGGATACCACGAAGCATGGAAACAGCACTAACTGGCAGAGTATGTGATGAACACAAAATACGACAAAAAAGACACTTAAAACAAACTGACTTGATTTACTTTTTTTCTGTTCAAATTCTTTGCATTTACTTTTTTGAGTGATTAATTTTCAGTAGTATTTTGTATTCTATTTTTGTCTTTATACAATATTTCTTTTGTGTGAGTGTAAGTGTGTTCATTTGGTGGGAGTTGTAAATAATATGTCGGTAAACTTCAGATTATTATTTATACAAGTTATATACATTTTTTTACAATACTATAGTATTAACCTTTAAAAAGAAAATTTTCAAAAATTTTCAACAGAAACAATTTAACCATACCTCTACAGGACCGTCTGTAAGATCTGTGTTAGCCAAACTTAATTCTTCTAAATTTGTATTGGTTTTCAGTCCTTCAAATAGTCGCTTGAATTTTTCTTTTGAAACATTCTATAAGAGTAAATTCATTTATCAAAAAACATACAAATATATATATCAATATTGCAACAACCTTGAGCATCACAAAACCAAAATGAAACATTTAACTCCATTAAGATACGATTTAAACTATTAACAAAATTAAAAGTTTGTATTTCACTCACAGAAGTAACAAAGAAACAATTTAAACTACATTTCTGCATTTTACTTTTTGATGAAACAAAATATCTTTATCAAATAGAAAGAGAACGCAATAAAAAAAAACTAAATTGTAAATTTGGTGTTTATGTTGTCTTTTATTCACCACAGTAAGTTTAAGTTATTATAGAAGTCCAAATCATGACCTAAGATGTCAAACCCTTTTGAAAAAACCACTAAAAAAATGCCCACTTTTTATGGTATCATGCAAATTGTTATAATAACTTTGTAGTGATCTACTCTATATTATTATTTTAAAATAATTTGAAGATTTTACTGCCCACTTTGGAATCTACTAAGAAAAATTTACAATTAACAGTATCGTATATGAACAAAACATGCAAGACAAAACAATGAGGGTTTTCTAACAGTTTATCTACTTCAAAGTAAAAAAAAAAATAATTAAGAGAAGTTAATTATTTTTTTGGGATTAGTTTTAGCCTGTAGTTGATGTCAAAATAAAGAATTTTATAGAATACTTTAAACTCTGATAAACTATTCATGTTTATTAGTATTTAGTTTGTTTAGAATTTCCTGCAAAGCTATATGAGGGCTATCTATGCTAACTGTCCTTAATTTAGCAGTGAAAGACTAGAGGAAAGGCAGCTAGTCATCACCACCAACCGCCATCTCTTGTACCAATGAAAGTGGGATTGACCGTAATATTATAACACCCACAGAGCTGAAAGGGTATGCATGTTCAGTGAGACAGATATTGGAACTCACAACCAACAGATTGTGAGTTGAGCACCCTAAACACCTGGCCATGCCAGGCCTTGTTCTTTAGTAATCAGTAACTATTGGTTTCTAAATCATTAAGTTAAAAGTAATAGTATGAGAAAAAACTATACACTTTTTTTTTACTGAAATGTACGTAAAACAGGTTTAGAAGCCATAATAACAGAGCTTAATTTATGTTGCCTACTTTTTAACAAACCAACACAGATTTCAAGCTGATATGAAGTATAGATAAGAGAAGGTAGGTAATACATAATTTTGTATTTTTGCCATAATATGCTGGATGTTATAAAACAATTAAACACATTGAATATGATTCTATTATTATTTTCAAATTGCTTGAATCTTTCTATCTTTGTATATACAAGTTAAGAAATCTAATAGCTCTTGGTCTTTCAAAAAGTAGACTTTTCTTTGTTATAGTAAACAGAAAAATTTACAAGGCATCAGACATTGTCTTTAAGTGTTGTCAATGATGATGATGGCACAATTAACTTTAAATATTCTATTCCCCTATTTTTAAGAAAAGCCTACCTTTCAAAAATTCTTGGGTTATATCAAGTTTTTTCAAATTTTGATGAAAAAAGAAAAATTCAAAAATGAATGATACCACAACTAAAAGCTTATGTTTAAAAAACAACAGAATAATACTAAACAGTTAAAAATGCACATACACACACACACTAATATATTTATTTTCATGTTTCCAGTTTACCACTCCTTGTGCAGATTAATGATTTCATGTAAACTAGATGTTTCTCCACATGCCCTTTATTACGAGATTAAGCCATCATGGAATACAAGTATTGTTTAATATTTAACTGTATTGCTCCTATCACCATTTCTAAATTCCTTTCTGCATATGGTACTGCATTACATTCAAAATTTAATTAAACCTCTTTACTATCAATATAGATAAATGAAGTTAACATTATAACATATGTTATAATTTGTATTTTTATGTTATCTAAGTTATAATTCCTTTGTTTCAAAAGAAACCTTTAAAAAAAATATACTTAAACTGCAGTATTCATGTCACGTGATCCATGCACAATGAAAAATCTTGACTTTAGCAACGGTTCATTGTTAGCCACATAAGCTAGCAATGTCACAAGTATGTACTGCTAAGTACAATACATTTATATTGCTGTCTGCTTGATTGACTATAGCACCTATGGTGGTTTCTTGCCTAAATATGCTGCAGTTAGAGAGACAGTTGAATTGTATTTAGATCTTACTTTTATATTTTAGTTAATTATGTACTATTTCTATTTTAAACATCATACTTGAAAGGTTTAATGATTTTTATAAGTTTAACCTGGTGTTGCCTGGATTGTGAAGGTGTACAAACAAGATGGCATCTTTCGCGTGTGCAAAGCATTAGTGAAACGAGTCATTGTATAATAACAATAAAGCCCCATGGGCACCAGATGTTGTATTGACAGAAATAATAAAATACAAAGAATTGGAAAGAAAAATCAAAAATAAACTATAAGTGAAAAGATAAAGACGTGAAATTATAAATACTAAAAAAAACAAGTTTCAAAAGACTTATACAAAGAGCTAAAATGTATGTACATATTTCCAGTTCTTAATTTTATATATTTCATTGCAGTGTACATTGATGATAAAAGGTAGAGTTGTGATATAATAGAGAAAATAGAAAATAAAATATAAACATCTACCTTAAAAAAAACTGTTGATATTCATATAGGAGGTTCTAGAGATTATGCAAATGAAATGTGAAAACTGTAACATAATAAATAGTATTCTTAAACTTAATATAAAAATCACCTTACTGGTGAACTATTCAGAGTCTGAGTGCAAATAACTCTCTCAATATGGGCTCGGTCAATTTGACTGTACATGTGACCTCTTTGTACTCATTTCAAAGTCTTTATAAATTTGATACTACTAACTCTTAATATAGTGTGTATATATCTTCAAGAATTTGGCAGTCTTTCAGTATACATTATAATCTTTCACATACAAAAAATAATATTTTTAGAGAAGAATTTTTACTAAACTAAAAAAAGATTTGTCCGTAAATATATAGAGTATTTGTTTTGAATAGTTTGTGTGCAAAGTGATTTTCATGTTAAGATTAAAAATACTTGTCTTCATCTCAAAATTCATTTGTGTAATCTCTAAGACCTCCTAAATATATTTCAAGTATTTGTTTTCAGTAAAACTTCATATTTTTTATTTTCTAACTCCATACAAGGTTGGTCAATTTGACTGACCTCGTAACCACAAAAAATCTAAATAAATCTAAATTACCCTTTTTTCTTTCTAGAATGACTTCAAATGTAACACGAAACTACATTCGTTTTTCCCAAGTAGCTTTAAACTCTTTACAGTATACATCTATTTATAGTTAAATTTTATTGTTTTATTCCCTTTGAACTTGGGGAATGTGCAGCTCATATTACGCTATTGAATTACATTACCCACGAGCTACTCTGAGCTGCTCGCGTGTGTGCCTCGTGAAATAATATTATATTATTATTTATTTTACCTAATCTAACCTTAACTAAAGAGATCCCTATTTTTACATTTTATTTACTTTTATAATAATAAATAAAGAATACACATGAAAAATAAGAAATAAAGTACTTACCCGTGTACTTTTTTTTTTTGCTGTCGAATGTCGATGATACTTAACCCTACTTTTTTTTATACTAATGGTAGTAATGCACAAAATAATTTTTATTTAATTAAATAATGCACCAAAGAACATAGATTAATAACATTCAAAAAGCAGATAATTTCCTATAACTATCACAATTTTTCTGGCTTTCTAACAATGCGACAAGAGCAGTCACAAATTCATCTAAGCTAGATATTATCTTTCCCATGGGAATGAAGCTTGTACTAAAAGAGAAATTGACAATTCTCTGTTCAGAACACAATGTAATATGATACTTCATTTGATACATGAAAACCTTGACTTTCTATTGGTTATAGATAATATAGAATTAAACATACGAGAGAACTATTAACAAATCCTGAAAGACAGGATGTGACAGGTAGGTGTGCCAAGAGGGGTCTGATTTTCTATTTGATGGCTCTGTAACTAACCAGAATTGAAAGTTATACAAATTATGGTTTGTATGAGCAATGATGATTTTATAGTGAGTAATTTTAAGTTGAATTTCGTTCTTATTGTAGGGGTGGTGAATAAAATAGAGAAGATGCAATGCCTACAGAAAATTTGTCACCTTTATCACACTAGGGGAAATTAAGGATTTTTTTAAATATTGCCTTATAAAATTAAGAACTTAAAACTTATATACTATTAAAATATGGACTATTGTCTATGATTTTATGCTATACTAATTGGTATAACATAAACAAAAAGGAGTTTAATAAAATTTTGAATGTAATCCACTAAAACCTCATGACATGCTCAGTAAATGATGCCTGAGAAGATAGTGTTAAATAACGATTTTTTTTTATTAGAAATAGTAGAAAAAATAAATGTTAAATATTTATTTTTCTGAAACTACAAACTTTTAGGAAAGTTCTTGTCAAATTTTAAATAATTTCATTCACTAGTTTTAGTTTTGGAATGACATATGACATGAACGACATTACCTACTAATAAAATTAGAAGCTGGGTTAAAGAATTAAATTACATTTATAAAATACGAACAATAATTGGCTGTCCTTTAGCTTATAGAGCTCTAGTTCTGCTTAGTGAAATAGTTTTAGGCTAGAGCCAATACAAGTATTTGTAATCACACATACACCCACAAGCATTTTTAAAGCATTAGACTTAAACAATTATCGTATTTGACCTTTAAGATGGTTAGCTTACATGACAATAATCCTGGGGCAAAGTCTTCTACATTATGATTACCATTTTGAAACTTATTCTTCAACTCAAACTAACCTTAATGTTGTTCCAGTTAAGTTTTTTGAGTGATGAGTCATTCTTTACAACTTGATCCAAAGTTTTGTCTACATTAGTGTCATTATCTGGTTCAAGCCCTAAACACTTTGGTTGAGTAGCATGTACAAGACCTGAAAAATAGTCAAATAGTTTGCTTTAAATTATTTTATCTGTGAAACAATAAATATATAATTAATGCATTAAGCTTCTACACTCTTTATAAGAAAAGCCTCACTGCACCCTCAAATGTCCTTCAATATTTCTACTATTTCTGGAACAGTGACTACAGTCTCCTTCTTCATTCTTGTCTGAATTTCCATTGGTGGATTACAACATTCTCCACACCTTTACTAGTAAAATTTGTGATATAGAAACCCAAGCCTCAGCAGCCAAGTAGGTACACTAATTAAGGTTCATCATAATAAAGAGACTGACTATCCAATCATCTTCCTCAGCTATAAGTAAACAGTGCAAGAGGTTCTTCCTATTAGACACTTGACTATCTCAATCATACACTGGTCCATGGGTTAATATTTAGAGGAAAGAGCATGAATTTGACAATCTCATCCTGATTCCTGAGGGTTTCACTAGACAAATGAGAAGGAGCACTACTCTAACTTCTAGTTTGGAATGGTGTTTCTTTACAGAGGATATAAATACAGTTGTAAACAATTAATGAACACTTAACTGTCTCGCTGTACATTTTTCTTAGCTTTCATTCAATGGTAACATCTTATATACAGTCTTGAAGGAACATTGCTTTTTTTATTTACCTGTGGTCGGTATTGGCAACCCGTGTCTTGCATTAGTATAGACCATGGTAGTGATGCATTTCTTGCTGTCATTATATATATAAGAGCATCTGAGTCATGACAAGAAACATATGGTTTGCATAATAGTTATACAAATTAAGTTCTTGGCTTCATCATCTTGTTTATTTCTAAGAAACTCTAGAATTGATAGGAACAGCAGCAGAAAGTTTCTCTCCTTGAATATCAAATAACCATATGTCACGATGAGACTTGAAGTGCTTCAGAAAACCAGTGCTAGTTTGAAACATGGATCACCATTTCTGGTTTTATTATGTCCAAAACCTTTTATATAAAATGGAACAAAATAGGATCACGCAAGCACCCCCCCTTTGCCAAAAACCAAATGTAAACAGTGTCTCCCAATGTACTGCTCTTAGTTTACTTCATGGATTTCCATTCCTTGCTTCACTCTTGACTGTCTAATTTGAAAACAAATTTCTTCAATGTTTCATTCATTCATCTTCAAACTTGGTATGTTGTTTTTCCAACACCATAGGTATGTTAAATTACTCACAATTTCTTCCTGTGTCAATTTTTCAACAAATCTTAGTTTATCTTGAGGAAGAGAGCAGCGTGCTTCTATAAAACCATTACTAAGGAATATCAAATGTCATAAACCCTTTAAACAGCAAAAAGTGAGAGAGTTGGAACTCACTTTTCAAAAAATTGTTTGATTTGGTTTGGTTTGTTTTGAATTTCGCGAAAAGCTACACGAGGGATATCTGCACTAGCCGTTCCTAATTTAG